CAAGTTATCAACTTGAATTTTCTCTGGTTTTGCATTAGTTTTAAATAACATGATCCAATTTATCTGTTGTTTACAGGGGCTTTGTAAGCCAAATCACTGGACCTCTTAAAAAAATTACCGAAAACTTGCTGCAACCTATAATCATAGATGAATTCGTATTATACCAGAGTAGGATTAATAATGCATGTAATTATAATATACAATTTTCTTTAGGCTTTTCTAATTATAAAAAAATTATAGATAACATCAACAGAGTGATTCCGAAATGCCTCTCATTTATTATGTAGCTCTCTTAATCAATGCTCTGCCACTGGAAATCAAGTCAGAATGTTATTATGGCCTCTCCTTCTGGATTTAATTACAGTAGTAACTCATGGCTCAAAGTCTGAGAAAACACACCATGCAGTTTATAGCTTTGAAGAACAGCTATTAATCCTGCCGTCTACCTCCCAGTGCAAGCCAATGAAAGCACTTTAAAAATCTTTATGCCTGAAGATAAACACACACTTATAGTCAGGCTTAAGGTGGAGGTGCAGGGAGCCCAGGCACTGTGTGCACTCTGTACATGTGCTGCAGAACATTCTCTCTCGGGTGATGCTCTGCAGGTCTCTCCAGATCTCTGATATGTTTGCCACCCGTCTTGAGTGGTTATCCTGCACTGTTAACGTTTGTAAAGATGCTGTCAGGGTGTCATCTCCTGTGTGTGGATAGTCTGGAGTCAAAACAGCATTTTTTCCAGAGAGATAGGCTTGCTACATTTGCGCATCTGTGCCTCTTGTGTGCTTTTGGAATCATTTTCCATCGTGAATCTCCAACCTGAAAATCAGCTACAAATGGGAATAATGCACTCTTCCAAGAACCTGAATTAGTATCAGAAATTGCTTTTAGTTTTGGCAGCAGCCAAGGAGGATGTCTCTCCCTCCAAAGCAGAAACATGCTCAGCCACATGCTATGGGCTGGGAGCCAGAGCTGCCTGAGGTCCAGGTCAGGGTGAGGTGGAGAGTACAGGAGGGTGAACATGAAAGCTTGTTTTTCAGAAGAGACTCTTTTTAAGAAAACGTTGTCTTTCAACAGAAAGACAGTTAAAATACCCAAGATTAATACCTGCCAGTGCCTACGTGTTTCAAAAATGATTGGTCTGTTGTAATAGGACAAGGGGAGATGATTTCAAACTGAGAGAGGGGAGATTTAGATTGGATATAAGGAAGAAGTTTCTTACAGTAAGGATGGTGAGGCACTGAAGAGGTTGCCTACAGATGTAGAAGCCCCATCCTTGGAGACACTCAAGGTCAGGCTGGACGGGGCTCTGAGTACCTCATGGAGCTGTAGGTGTCCCTGTTCACTGCAGGAGAGTTGGACTAGGTGGCCTCTAAATGTCCCTTCCAACTCAATCAATTCTATAACTTTATAACTTTCTATAACTAAAAGAAGTTTTCACTTGATCTCTCAAACTGCCATCGTAAGAACCAGCTGATTTTTATACTCTATAATTTGTGGAAGAGAAAACTGAGACATAACTAGCTTGGTTATTTTATGGAGCACTTTATTTGAACTCATCAGCGCTGCAAGGGACTCAAAGTCATCTTCCAGTATTCTCAGCTGGTTGAAAGTACAGTTGATGTCCATCAACTGGAGAACTGTAGGAAGGAACTGAGGAAGCATTTGTAGCTGACATCTCCACTGCAGTGTGATCAGTGTGATCTGCAAGGTTATCAGAACTGACCAGAGATATGTTTTGTACACTATGTGGTTGTTTTTTTTTTTTTAACTTAAATATTATTTCATCAGAGAATGTTGATTATTTGAAGTGGAAAGTAAAGTACTGGCAGGAATGGCTAAGCTTTGCAGATTGGTCTGATTGAAAGACACTGACATTTCAAAAGTGATATTTTGAAACTGCCAAATGCCTTATGGAAAGAAAAAAGAAATAAAATGTTGATATTTTACTGATTTCTTTTTTTTTCAAGCACTGTGACTGACCAGAATGATTTTTGTATATTTTCAGTTTGCTAGCCCTATCCAAGTTTCAACACTATTGGCAATAATAATGTGGTTTTTAAAAATAAAATAAAATTGAGAGTTGAGGACAGCAGTCCAACTCTGGTTTCCAGCTCGTGCTCCAGTGGAACCTGGGACCCATCTCACCTCAATAGACCAGACAGAAGGGGCTGGAGGCACAGCAGGACTTTGTACAAGATATCTTATGTCAAACTTGAGAGGATAGGAGTAGGAACAGCATTTGGGCGGAGCTCAGGCTAAGACTGCCATAGAAACATCCCCTTACTAACATCTTTTCTGACATCAGCCTTCCAAGAGTAAGATGTCTTGTCAAGCATCTGAAAAAGTTGTGCAAGCATTCACGACATTCCTAGGGAGATGTAAGAGTGGTGCCTGTGCTGCCCTTTTAAGATGTTTGTCTGTTTTGGCTTCAGGAGGGGTTCTTGTAAGACATCACTGGTGTTACATGGAAGGAAATGCGATGGTGGGGCACCTGTGTGCTCTTTCCTCATGGCAAAAAATCCAAGAAAGTATGGCTAAGTTGAAATGAATTGATGGTTGGACTAGATGATCTTAGTGGTTTCTTCCAATCTTAATGATTCTATGATTCTGTGAGTTTATGAAATACTGTGGGAAGCAGAATTTGATTATTTTTGAAATATTGTTATTGCTTAGACCTGCCTCAAAAACCCCTGTGCTCCCATCACCAACGACAAGATTGTTCTATGTTTTATAAAAGAAATTATGTAGCCAACTGTGTTTTCTAAATGTGCTTTCAAAGTCATCACGGGAAATAATCACGACAGGAAATAATGGAATTCTATAACTGTCATATTTCCAGAAAAAGCTGTGGGAAGAACCTTCTGAGTTATGGATTGAATTCACTTTCATGTCTAGCACTGAGGGTAGGAAAAAAACAACAGTCTTCCAGCATTCAGCTCTACTGCTGTTGGGAACCACGTGCAGGATGGCAATGAGCCGTACTGTCAGCTTGGAGCAGAAGAATCCAGGCTGGAGGAGAGGGCTTCTGGCTCCAACAGTGTGACCACTGACACATGAGACTTTAATTTCAAGGGAAGAACTGGAGCAAAAAAACATTGCCAAATCTGGTTCCATAATGGTCTGCTATTTTGCTTGCTGTGCCTGGTGTCACAGTTGTGATCCTGGTTGAAATGACAGCTGATGCTCCTTAGTTGAGAGCAAGATAGGGAGGCAATGGAGCTGAAGTAAGAACAGAGAAAAGTGGAGATCCTTGATGTGTTGGTGAGGATATTTCCTCCCTTCCTCTTCCCTGACTGAGAAGAAACAGTAAAGGTTTTTTTTTTTTTTCTTTATTCTTTTCCCCAGTTATTATTATTATTGTTTTAATGCAGTTCTGTATTCATGAATTGCAAAAACATCTTGACACGTGCACAAAGGCTTGCAGGTAGCATGTCCTCATGCTCCTCCAGGACTTCAGTGCTGGGTCTCTGTACCAGGACATCCCAGAACTGCCTGGAGAAATGACTCGCAGGCTGAGGGAGGTAATTTGCTCTGGGAGCTGGGAAAAGAGCAATCCGTACAGCATCCTTGGAGCAAAGCAACACAAAGAGAAACTATTGCAGAGAATAATTACTGCCCTGTAATCCTCCAGGAATGCACTGCTGCAGCACTGTGCCATGAGAGCCGTAAGAATTCAGATGCTCTCTTATTCCCTTTGCCGTTCTCTGAAGTGAAGGGGAAGGTTGTTTTCTTTCAAAGATGATCACTTACCCTCTATTTACTGTGAAGGATGGGGACGGGGGACTGGGGCTCCCAAAGCTTTTCACAGTTGGTTTTGTTGCCTAATTATTCAGAGAAGAGCTCCTCCTGGCAGTGGGGCTGTGTCCTCTGCAGCCAAGCTGAGGGACTCCTGCCCTTGTAGAAGGTCTCTGGAAGCAATCTCTCTCGGTGGGATAACACTGCAGCCCTCAGGCCTGTTTCACTTGGTTTGTTTATTTATTTTTAATGGATTCACATGATGGAAGAAGCACATCTTCCGTATTGTCTTTTGAAGGCAGATAATTGTGTTGCTGTTGCATTCATAATCGGCTTGTCATGCCCAAATGAATTTACTTATATCTGTCTTTCCCCTCAAAAAACAGCCCTGCCGAGTTCTCCCAGTGGTTCCATCAGCCACAAAGCACTGTTGTTAAGCAAGTGCTGCTTTATGCTGTCTAAATAGACGTTGCTCTTCTCTTGTTCCTCCTGTCAGGCATATTGTTAAATTGCTATGAATCTGCAGTGAGTTGAAACTCGCCATTCCAAGGAGAAAGAAGTTATTAATTGTAATCAGGATTATTGGATAGCAGCACTTTTGACTCTTGAGCTGATGACTTATCATCAAAACATATCCTTTCATTGTTTTAAAATATTCCCATTATCCTTTATGTATAGTGATTAAAAAAAAAGAAATTGTTTAAATAGCAGTCTGCTTAAAACAACAGAAACACACTGAGCTTCACAGGCTGCCTCCTCAAGTTGTGAATGACTAGATGTAAGCTTTGTCATTGTGCAAGATCCCTCTCAGGCTGAAAAAGAGCCCCACTGTGATGGGCTGGGTCAGAGATACACTGAAGTAACTGTTATCCTGCAACAGGTCTGACAGAGCTTCAGAAAAGATTTTCAGTTGGAGTCAAAATCAGTGCGGAAAACTGTTTCCAACTTGTTTGCTTCCACCCTCCTGAAATCAAGATGATTTTCAAGGCCAGCTTGGGTGGGACCCTGGGCAACCTGATCCAGTGCTTCATCTAGTGGCTGGCAACCCTGCCACAGCAGGGGGTTGGAACTGGATGATCTGTGAGGTCCCTTCCAACCCAAGTAATTCTATAATTATATGATTCTCTGGAAAACTTTGTGGTACAGTTCAAAGCTCTTTTCTGACAGAGGAGAAGAGGCAAAACAACATGCAGAAAAGATGCTGGAGAACATTGCTTGCTGCACCCTATTGTAACCTTTCCCTCTTTCCTGCTTTTGCTTTGCAGGTTTCCAGTGGGACAACTTTTGTGACTGAGCAAAGAGAGGCATCATACTGCTGACAGACATCAGCTGCATTTAACTGATGACAAGATAAAGGTAGGAGCAGAGCACAAGTGGGTCAAGCATAGAAGCTTATAAAGGTCGCATTGGAACCCAGGATGTTGAAAAAAATTGGAAGGTAAATTTTGAAATGGACAGTTTCAAAGGTAAGAAACAGTCTTTGATCTTCAAAAGCTTATAAATGAGAGAATACTGTCTGTTGGACTCATCATGTTTCCAAACAAATGGAGTTTTGAAGTATCAAAACCCTGAAGAAGAGAAACAAAAAGGGACATTATTCAGATGGTCAGCCCAAATGACAGCATGGATGTCTCTGATAGTTTTAGTAGGCTTTGTACTATAGTTTTGTGCTATAATGTTACTGATGTAAAAAAAAAAAAACTTTATGAATTTCTAGCTGAATTTATTAAAAGTGATGTTCAGGAAAAAAACAAACAAACAAAAAAAACCAACAACAAAAAAATGAACCTACAATAAGAAGGGCTTCAGACTGTGCGAGTTTCTGAAAGCGTCACAGCCTACAATTTTTTGGTAGGAGGAAGTAGTGAATAACATTCTAAAATGCTTTTGTTGTGCTTTGGTTTTTTTTGTGTGTGTGGTTTTTTTGTGTTTTTTTTTTACTTTTTACCAAGTGCTCCAGGCCTGCGTAAAATGTTTGATAAAGCATGCTCATGAGTCCTTGTGATGGCAACTGTGGGCAAGCAAGACTTAAGAGTTCTTAGCTGGGCCCTGCCATGGCCAGCCAATGTGTGGGGAAGATCTTCAGGCAAACACTCAGTATGTAAATCTGTGCTCAGCTCTGCAGTGATTCTTACCTACTTGGTTCCCAACAGAATGAAGATAAAAGCTTAAAAACATCCCTGCAGTTTTGCACCTGAATTACTGAGCTGGAAGGGGTATATACATGAGCAATAAATGTATATTTTTTCCAGAGATGTTTTTTGGCTCATCAAAACCAAATTTCTGAATTATTTTGTGTATTTGCTTATTTTAGTGAGCAGTACATGACTGGAGGATATATGTAGTCTGCGTGCCTCTCCTTGTCTTACCATCAATTACAGCATAAGTTACCCATGTTTTCTATTTCTAAATACATCTGGAGTTTTGTTTTTAATTATTCATTGAGACAGAGGCTTATTTTTTACCAGTTTCCAAGTGTGCTCTTAGAGCTATTGGAACCAACATGTGACAGCCAGAGGAAAAAGTGGAGTGGACAATGGACTTGGAGATGTCAAGGCAGCCATATACAGTGAGGAGGTAAGATTCAGTGTTTTCTTCTATTGTGTCATCTCAGGGCATCCTGCTGGAGTTTTGTAAGACAATTGCTTTTTGTAAATGGGTTGTGACAAGCAATTAGACACTGCTCCACACATCTTAAGAAAGGAAGAACAGAATAATTGAAAACAGGGCTGGGAGAGCTCTCAGGAGGTCACCCAGTCCATCTCTTCACTCAGACAGGATAGGCTTCACACTAACCACTCCTGACATATGTTTGCCTCACATGTTTTCAAAAACCCCCACAGACAAAGGTCCCACAACCTCCCTAGGAAATGCTTTCAGGTCTTATCTCTGCCTAACATTAGAAATGTCTTTCCTACTGCCTTGCTTGTGTCCCTCTTGCTGCTGGTGTGACACCACTGCCTCTTGTCAGGGTCCCAGAGGGTTGGTTATTTCCTTTATTCTGCAGCTACAATTCCATCTGTTTGGAGACTGCTATCAGGATTCCTCACAGCTTTCTCCTTCCTAGACTAAACAAATCCCATCCTTTTAATCTTTCCTTATAATATATGGGGTTTAAACCTTTTCCTCATTTTTGTTGTTTTCCTCTGGACTCAAACTAACTGGTCTGTGTCTTTCCTGAAAGCATTGGCCTAAATTAGGCTGACTCAATTTCTGTGGCTGTGTTCTCTTATCCTAATATTTGTTGTGCAAGAGGTGCATTATCCATGGCAGCAAAGAGTTTCAGAAGCCTACAATGAAAGCCTTTGTTTAATGTCCCATCTTGGATCTAATGTCTGAATGAATCTGTCTGGACTAGAGGGGTATCAACATCTTTGCCAATCTCTGGTAGCCTGAGGAGTGCTAAATTTTAAATATGGGAAAGAGGAGGTGAAAGGCAAATGTTAAAAACACATATTGGCTATAAATGCTTTCTACTCCTCTGTGCTGGCCTCCAACTGCCCATGTCGGCTGAAATATCTCAGGCAATGCAAATGTTTGTGCATGAGAGCAGGTCAGGAGAGCTGGCTATGATTAAGCTTCAGTTAACTGTGATGCAGAATGTGTAGCATGTTCTCGTGGGAGTTGGTCATAGGGATCTTCCCTGCCTAAAAGAAATCTGACATTTTTGGCTTATATTACGCTACCTTAGTCTTGAAACCTTCATTGATGTCAGTGTCAAAATGCATCTTAGGGATCAAGGTTATGGTGTTGGAAATGGGTTTCCCTTCCCAAAACAGATGAAGGGCTGTATGACTTTACCAGTTACATATGTCTCATTAACACTTCCAAAGCCCTTTGGATTAGGCATGATCATGATCTGTCATGGAGGGAAAATATATCAGCTGAGATATTGATTTTAGGAATTTAGGTTTGACTTTAGGAATTTGGTCCTTTATTAATTGGATAAAAAAAAAATAATGATCTTGCCAAGGAGAAATTAATATTATAATTCATCTAGGAAATCAGTGTTTTGTGTGTCAAAAAAGATAGATTTCCCAACTAGTCAGATTCAGAACTCCCACTGAGATAACCAAGGGGAAAACCCAGAATTTCCTTGAGAAACTGGGAGGGAGAGGAAGGGATGGCTCCAGTATGATGTGACTCCCTTTGTGTCAGGGTTGTTGTTGGCTATCCTCTCCAACAGCAATGTTATCTGGGAGATAGGGCTCCCTTCAAAACAAACAATTATAATTGACTTCAGCAACATTCATACATTTTTTTCCCAGAGCTGGGAACTGGGTTGTCACTGCAGCTTGTGCTGGGTATCTGCAAAATAAAATGAAGGCAAATAGCTTTGTTTTGAATATGTGAGGTTAGAGTTATTGCTACCTCTCTTGGTTTGGGATTTCTGTATCTGACAGATTGCAGCCTTTTAAGAGAGTGGAGTTTTTTTGTTTTGTGCCATGTAGTGTAGTACCACATGAAGCAAGAGGAAGAAAAGGAGACTGGCATTGTTCTGGTGTTTTCTCAAGCAGCAGAGCAGCAAATAGTTTTCCTTGGCTTTCTGGAAAATATCTGACCTTGATACTTCATATTCAATTTATGTAAACAATTACAAAAGAATCTGAGCCAAATAGAAAAGGCTATTTCTTGAAAACCTGCAGGGAATGCACATGGGAATTTGGGAATTTCCCACATGCTGTAGCAATCTTAAAAGTACCTCCATGTAACCCCACAATATTAATGATTAACTCCAGAAGTGTGAGTTTTTCCATACCTCCAGTGAGCTTGATGGTATGTGTGTTCAGTTGTACACTGTATTGGTGAGGGGTAGTAAAATACAGATATAGATAATTTCCCACTTCAGTAACTTGCATTTAACAAACTGTCTGCTACATTTCTCCCTTGAAATCCAGGGATTTCTGTGAATTGCACAGTTGATAGATATCACAATAAGGGAAATATTCTGTGGCTAAGCTGTTTGCTAAGATACTCTTGCAAGAACGAGCTGGAAGCAGTTTTGTTCTTCTGAAATTACTCAAAGATAGACATACTTTGCTCAGGGCACTCACCCACACAGAGCAGCACGGACTTTCACAGATAAGTTGAACATTGTCGATATCATGTTTATATGAAGTTCGTTATTGGTGTTAGCTTTGTGATTGGTTTGCCTTACATGTGCTGAACAAAACAGAAGCAGCCAGAATGCACTTTGAAAGGTGCTTTCCCAGAGCAAGCAGAGCTTCTTGTGCAGGGAGATTCTCATCATGGTTCATCTGTTCAGCTGTTGATGCTGTGGGCAGCACTTCTGAAAACGGTTTGTGGGTGCAAGCTGTCAAACGAAGATTTCAAAAGGTGCTGAATGCCAACCCCTTGCTTTTCTAAACCAAAAGCCTTTCCCATAGCAATTAGGAATATTCCACCTTTTTGGTCATTTTTCTGTATCTATTCCACTTTTGTTTAATTTAGCAGTATGGTCCATCAGTCGTTTCACTGTGACGCTTGGTGCAGTGTTAATACTTTTATTGTTAAAATTTCTGGAGCATGACTTTTTAATTAATTCAGATTGAGAGACTTGAGCAACACTATCATGGGTACCAAGTCAGGACTCATTTTCACAAGGCTACAAAGTGCCAGAAAGAAATTGTTTTGAAGTACCTTAAGAACCAGCACACCTCCATTTTGGAGCATTTTTAATATCATTATATATAGAACCATTGAATCCTTAGAGTTGGAAGGAACATTTTAAGGTCATCTAGTCCAACTCCCCTGCAATGAACAGGGACATCACAGCTAGATCAGGTTGCCCAGGTCTGATCCAGCCTCACCTTGAAAGTCTCCAGGGATGGGGCATCCACCACATCTCTGGGCAACCTGTTCCAGTGCCTCACCACCCTCACTGTAAAAGACCTTTTCCTTATATCCAACCTAAATCTAACATCTTTGAGCTTGAAAACATTTTCCCTTGTCCTGTCAGAACAGACCACACTGAAGAGTCCATCCCCCTTTTTCCTGTAGCTCTCCTTTAGATAGTGAAAGGCTGCTACCAGATCACTTTGGAGTCTTCTCCAGGATGAACAGCCCCAGCTCTCTCAGTCTGTCCTCACAGGAGAAATTTTCCATCCTTTGGATCATTTTTGTGGCCCTCCTCCGGATGCACTCCAACAGGTCTATATTTCTCCTGTACTGAGGACTCTGCATCTAGATGCAGTACTCCAGGTGAGGCCCCACCAGCCCAGAGTAGAGGGGCAGGATCGCCTTGAACACCTCCAGGAATGGGACATCCACAGCTTCTCTGGGCAGCCTGCACCAGGACCTCACTGCCCTCTGAGTGAAAAATTTCCACCTGATATCTAATCTAAATCTCCTCTCTATGCCTCTACTGTGGGTGTAATTCCCTGTTCAGCATCTGTGTGCATGCACTCAACTACATATATGTATGTGTATTAAGTTTTTCTGTGCCTAAAATGCAGAGGACGTGGCTTTGTTTTTACCCTGCTATGAAATTTATCTTTCTGTTGGGCTGTAGGGGCTCACATGTTCAGCTTGAAATGAGACTTGTTCTCAAGTTAGATATTGGCTATATTTTTTGTGGGGTTTGGTTTAGGCTTCAGACTGTGCTAGAGTACGTGTGGTTAGGACATCTTGCCTCTGTATACAGGAAGCAGATGATTATCTGGTCAGTACAGTACATCTCTCCCCATCTATCTGCTTGATTAATACAGGATATGACTCTGCCATGGCTTTTACCTTCAGATCTTAGCCCTTCAGTTGACTCATGCTTTTAGCACAAGAGAGCATAATTTTCCTTTCAGATATGATTTATTTCACTGGGTTTTTTTTTTTTTGTTTTTGTTGTTTTGTTTTGTTTTGTTTTGTTTGTTTTTCTTTAAAAAAAGAAACCCAAGCAAGCTTAGAAGTATCCAATCACTGGCATCTAACTCATGGGCTTTTCCTTATCCAGTGTATTCCATTTCCCAATACTTTTAACTTGACTAGAGCCACACATTGTCCTCATTTTTAAGCTATTTCCTGCTAGAAATGCACTAGAAAGTGTAAACATTTGCAAGTTCTCTTGAAAAACTTATTTACTTATATTTCTCACTGTACTGTGGAACTATGGCTCATTATTTTCCCATTAGACAGCACAGACCAATGTAAGAACTTCATCTTGCTGCCACCTGATATGATAAAAGTGTATCATATGGAGCTTCTAGTAGGAAAGGCACACTTTTCTGGATAGTCTCATCACTTTTACCTTATTATGGAATTTTCAGAGTGCTCAGATGTTAAAGAAACTAGCTAGAAATGAAAGATCAGGCTCCTTTCTCAGGTCTGGGCAGGCAAAGTCTTCACTTCTCACCACATTATTCAGGAGCTGTACACCTGCCAAAGCAATTGTTAGGCTTCAGGCCAACAGCATCCTGGCCTGCACCAGAAATCGTGTGGCCAGCCCCTTGTGTGAGCCACTGGTGAGACTGCACCTCAAATATTATGCTTAGTTTATTAGTAGGATTTTGTTAGATATTAGGATAACTTCCCACAGGGCGAGTGTTCAGTTATTGGAACAATCTGACCAGGAAGCTGGTGGGGTC